TTCACTTTAGAAATTAAATCCTCCATCTGATTTTTTGAAGTTGAAATCAATCTAAGATAAAAGAAAGGAAGAAATTTGTTTAGTGTTTTTAATTTTCGTATATTCTAAAATGATTTTTGTTAGCGTTAATGATGTAACTTACTAACGCTAAACGAAGATTAAGATGTTCTTCTAGTCTAACTAGTTAGGACATCCGCCCGGATAGCGGAAGGTGTGGGTTCGAGTCACACAAAGTTCACCTTTTCTTCGTTCTGTCACATAACATCAGCGGCACTGCTTGTCTCTTTCGTTTTTAATAATATCTCTCTTTTTCATTCCTTTTATATCCTTTTCATTCTATACGTATGAGGGTTAACAATTTTGAAAACTTCGTTTGCGTAAATCTAAACAGTAAACAATATACGGCGCAGTATCTAAATCATAAAAAATAGAAATGTCTATCATATGTTTTTGACAGAGAGACAGACAGACCGTGAGCTTGAGTCGAGAAAGTTAATGAACGTGACTTTTCATGAGCATTCATAAATTTCATGGATAAGACAGAATTTTTGCTGAAAAGTTTTGTTTCAAAGATCAAAATTCTCCTCTTCTACGATAGCATGTTAAGGTATAAACACCCCATGTAATAAAAACCGCATGAAAATCGGCGGTTAACCGCGGTTTTACCGATCCGGTTACCGGCTCCCATTACCGCAGAACGGATAAATGCTGCGGTTTACCGCAAAAAATGATCCGACATTTACCGCGGTAAACCGCCGGTTTTNTTTTTTACTTTTACATGTGATAAACATGAGCAAAAAACCGCCGGTTTACCGCGGTTTTACCGGTCCGGTTACCGGCTCCCATTACCGCAGAACGGATAAATACCGCGGTTTACCGCAAAAAATGATCCGGTATTCGCAACATGGGACAATATGGAAGACTAGTCGGGTACCAGAGAAGGGTAAGAAAATGAGGACATGGTGAATTCCTATATGCAGAAAATTCAAAGTTCTCAGCACTACTCAGTGAAAAACATTGGAGATTAAAATCGATTTTAACCCCTGAAACTTTTCACTGGGCCACGTTTAGATGAACTTGAAGAGACCAGATTGAGTGCATGTATCCAATTTTTAAAAGGCGCTAACTTACAGCTAAGATCTGGCTAATAATTATTTTTTTGCCAATCAAGCTGAAGCATGCGCGTTAATGGTTAACATTATTGCAAAAGCATTCGCATGTTTTCGACAGTAATGCTAATCTGCGCCTCTTTGAATAAATACTTCGTTTTTCGGCCAATGAAGAATTTAAAACAAATCAACTGAAATTCCTCGAAGTTTTAAGATATATTTATCGGGTGTCGTAACGAAATCATTAACAAAACAAGCGTTAACTCGAAATAACTCAACTTTTAGACATGTAATTTTTTAGAGAGTCGCGAGCTGATCATCCTTAGAAATAGTAGCAATTGGTCCAGAAGTGAATATATCTCAATTCAATACTTCATACAGTAATATGACGCTTAAATCTTGATTCCAGGTGTAACGGTATCATGGTATCTATATGTTAATCAATGATATATTAGATATATTTTTGAAGAAGTTTTGACTGGCGTATATAATCAAGCGAGATGAATCCTTTAAGTTGGTATGATAGCTTTCCTGTTAGATCGAGTCACATTGCTAGAGTATAACACTCTTATTTGTGAACCGAAATCAGTTCTTGCTTCGTCTAAGTTGTGATACAGCACACTCGATTAGGGTTCCGAACAGAGTTGTTTTCAGCTCAAGAGAAAATCTGATACTTCCTTTCCTGTAAATCTTCAATCATTTTTTGAACCATTTAGATCGAAAAAAATTGAACTAATATAATTAGTACACCATTGACAAAGCATCTACATTGGCATTTCATTGATAAAATAAAATCAAACATACCGTGGAACAGATCAATGAGTTATATATTATCAAAGACTATAACTATTCCTGACTTTTATCATCACTATGTGATATTGTACTATTCTAGCTTCGCTCTATTGATGGGAGTGTTAACGATCGGATTCACGCTGACATTATGCATTCCATCCTTCCGCCATAGATTATTATGGATCACAACACTTGGCTGTCTACTGGATACTATTGCCACAAACATTTTAGCAAACACAGGAGCATTCTTGATGATAAATTACACAATGGAACTCTTCTACAAAATAATACCTATTCTACTAATATTTTATACATTTGTACGAGTTCAAATATCTTTTCGCGCTTCTGAACAAAAAGAAGAGCTATCCAGCCCAAAAAATATTTGCTACGTATTCACTGTAATTGTTCACGTTGTACTGTGGTTTCCTCTGATGCTAGTAATTGTTATGTTCGTTTTTTGGCTTAATCTGATGGCTGTTTTTTCTCTCTATAATATGTTAATGTAACCCATTGAGTGCTTCGAAATACGTATATCTAAACAATATTTTCTTCAGTGTGTTACGGCATATCTGGTGTGGTTGTGACTGTCGGTCGGTGTAAGTTAGTGTGAGGTTATGCTCTTTCCGCCACTCCATCGATGGAATAATTTTCACACAAATATTCAATTGAAAACTCAAGCTACGTAATCAATACTTTTTCTCGATTTATGTATAGAAAATGTTAATGATCATTTATTTACAAAAGTGTATTATAAATCATTCAACAGGGTTCGTTCTATATACATAAAAAAGAATATCCCATTTTCTATGTTACTAAGAGTGACTAGATATTATTCAATATCCAAAACATTTGAAAATGAACGTGAAGATTTATGAATAGCTGTGTTATTAAGCAAATATTCAGGTGAATCATTAGATAAACAATATAATCGTGTCCTAATTGACGGGAGACCGAAATTTCGGCCCGGCCCGAAAATTCTCCGGACTTTCGGACCAATTTTATACAAATCCATTAAACTCTGAGAAAAAAGCGATTTTTTTTGAAAATTGGTTTCTAGATTTGTTTAGTGCCGAGCGAAGCGGCATTTTTCATTCCATAGAAGAAAAACTAGTTGAAATAAAAAAAGCGAATTTATACCTAATATACATCTCAACAAATTTCGAAAAATATACCAGCAATAGCGAATTCTACATCTAAAATAAAAATAAAAAATCTGCATCCTTAAGTCAATATTGAGATTACACTAGATTCGTTCGTGCTTGTTGTGGATAAACGATATGTATCTTAAAACGCCATACTATGTTCTATAATAATAGAAGTGCTGTTTTAAACACTATATTACTTCGCTGGGCACTACGTCGCTTTGCTCGGCACTGCGACGCTTCGCTCGGTACTAAAAAAAATCAAGAAACCAATTTTCAAAAAAATTCGTTTTTTCTCAGAGTTTAATGAATTTGTATAAAATTGGCCCAAAAGTCCGGCCCGAAAATTCCGTGGGCCGAAATTCATGTAACCCTAATTGACTAGTAATAACTGCAATACGATGCCTAAAAATATTATTCCTACTCCAGTACAAGAGAAACTATTCATCGATTATCACAAGACAATGATCATTCATTTTGCTCATTGTTTAAATAGGAGAACATTGCCAATGAGATTTCATATTCTTTAGAATAAGTATTTTACCGAATCTTCTATTAATTTACTTTATTCATATACTAATACTTTTTACAGATTGTCTTTTGAAGAAAATTTTGTAATTTCTAATATTCCCTTTTGCAATGTGTTTTCTCTTGTGCTAAGATATTGTAATGCAGAGTCTTGATGAGTGTTTAAATTTTAATAAATAACATGAAACGTATGGGTAAATTTAATTGTTTTCTTGCTGAAAATAGCTGCAATTATTTCCATTGATGAATTTAATTAAATCAATTTTTCTTTAATAAAAAAACTGAATGAATCCACCATTTAGTTCTGCTTGCATATATGCGTACAGATATAATTATATTAGCAAAACAGTGACTGACTTAACTGAAATCTTTTAAATAGATGGCTACATTATGAAAATGATATCAAACGCTATTCGAAGAGTGAGAAATTTGATTGTAAACATATTTAGTTGAACAATCAATGGAAGAAGTATATTAGGTTTATTTATTCCTACACCAGCATGCGAATACAATCATTCGCCACTTGCTCATTGAATTTCATGTTGTTATTGCCAATAGAGTTCTTCGTTGACTAAAACAAATGCAATGAAAATCAACATAAAAGAAGATAAGAAATCCTAGAGTTTGCCTTGCTTCAAAACTACTCCGTGAATCGTTTGATAAAAACAGAAGACAAGTAAATAATTTAAAACAGAAAGAATTAAAGTCAACGACGATGTATACTTTACTATATCACTACGTTCCTGTGACACATAGCACCAACCTAATTTAAATATTGGACACGATCGAAACAAATATAGAATTGATAGCGGTTTCTGAATTCATTATCGAACAGGTAAAAATTTATAGCATAATCTCACGTAATTTTGAATTACCAAAAAAAAGAATTAATGATAACTGCACTACATAGAGAAAATTCTGCATGTTACCACCTCTAAATGCTTGTTTACGGACCATCAGAAGAAACAAAAATAAAATCAACATGGTTGGTAAGAATGAAAATTTTATTACTTGCGATAACACAACAGGTGTAAACATATTCTGACCTATATTTTATTGTCATAATTAAAATAGAAAATGTAATTGTTTTAGTCTGCTGAATAAGATATTTTAGGAGCATAAATGATACTTTTAAAAATCAATTATTACTTGAATCACGATACTACTACTACTACTACATTGGGATGATATGCAGCATATTGAAAACCGAGGGAAATGACTATTCTTACTCATACTGATCATCAGATCATTTTCCTATTGATAAAAATTACTCAATGTTGCGCGTATTCGGCGTTGATCGCCTTTTCGCTAACACTCATGTTCAGTGCATTTTTTATGATTTGATAGTAACAATGATCTTTTTGTCTAGTGTGTGATACAGTTATTTCTAGATCGAGTTTGTTTCGTCTTTAATTTTTCTATCAATACAATGATCAAAAATCGAGTGCGTTGTGCATCGATTGTATTAGGTGTTCTTGGTGTGGGATGTTTAGTCGCTGGTGTTCTTCTTATCGTGATTGGAGATTCAGTTGTAGACAAAATGATTGAAAAAGTACGATTCATCGTTTATGTTTCACTTAAGTCGAAATTATCTTATATCATTCAATCAGGAATGCCAATTACGAGAAGGAACATTGTTGTACAAGAATTGGCTTTCACCTCCTATCACAATCTACATGTCAGTCTATGTCTTTGATCTTACAAATCCTGTTGAATTTCTCAATGGGGCCAAACCACTTCTTATCGAACATGGTCCATTTGTGTACAAGTCTGATCGATATCCAGCAAAAAGAATACATAAAATAATCAATTATTTCAAAATTCTAGAGAACAGCGAACAAAAACCAATCTACGCACCTATGAAAATGAAACATTATCGTATCAAGAACCTCGCCAATATATATTCGATCGGTCACAATCTGCTTATGATGAAACATTCAAGTTTACAACAATCAATGTTATCTATATGGTAAAGATGATCTTCGTCATATACGAATTTGAGTATTTGACACAAATTGTTTGTTTCATTTCAGACACTAGTCAATTTATTACAGATGGATAGAATACCGAATGTCTACCGTAGTATTGTAGCAGATGTTGTAGCAACGATAGAAAAACCGCTGATGACACGTTCAGTACGCGAATATCTATGGGGTTATCAAGATCCTCTGTTGCATATCTTCAAAAAAATACTACCTGAAATCGTATTGGATGATCAAATAGCTTTGTTTGGTTCTGCTGTAAGTTTTTCATGATGTACTGTTTTGGCGTTCAAAGTAGAAAATCGTTTGTTTTTTTGTATCCTGAAATTTTGATTAATTTGTATTAATTAATGTGTGCTCTAAAACTATGTTCTATTTCAGGTGTATTTATTCGCCTATGATACATACTTGATTAAAAATGGCGTAGGACGAAGCAGTCAAGTTGGTATAATCGAAAGATTTAATTATTCAACAAGTTTACCCATATGGTCGGACCCATATGCTAATATGATCAATGGAACTGATAGTACAGTTTGGCATCCTAATGCAAGAAAAGACGAACGCTTTTATGCATATATTCGAGATATTTGCCGATCAGTCTATTTGACTTTTAATGAGACACGAAGAAATTTTGCTGGCATTGATCTGTATCATTATACACTGCCAGAAACCATATTTTCAAACTCGACTGACAATCAAGGTTTCTGTATGAATGCTACTACTGCCAATAAGACGCATGCATTGCATTGTTTGCCGAGTGGTCTCTTTACTCAGACCCCATGTCAGCATTGTGAGTGAAGCATTTGTGTTTTTCAGAAACGTCGACACTCATCAGTCTGACGATCAATATTTAGTTAGTTCTGTGACCATTGATTTTCCATTGCCCATCATTGCATCGAATCCACATTTTCTTGATGCCGACCCTATTGTATCGAATGCTGTTGATGGTATGCATCCTGATAGTGAATTGCATCGAAGCTTTGGAGATGTTGAACCAAGAACAGGAAGTAAGTACGGTTTGAATGAAACAGAAACGATCGATTTGATATGAAACAATGTTTTAGTCATTATGAATGGATCCCGTCGCTTACAATTCAATATGAATGTAGTCAACGATTCGTCAATCAGGTTTTCTGATAGATTTTATTTTTTTCGAATATCATTCTTGATCATCGTCTTGTTTCAGTTTGCTCTCTAATATTCGTCCAGTATTCTATCCAATGTTCTGGGGCAGTGAAGTGAGCATCTCAATCAATTGATTTCTTTTTCTTTAAAAAAAACCGCATATGATAGCATGCTGCAATTGATGAGCCCACTGCGAAAGTATTTCGGAATTTCGTTGTTATACCGCTTTTGATTTTGACTATTCTCAAATACCTGCTAGTAGGCATTGGTATTTGTTGCTTAATAGCTCTGTGTATCATACTTGTTGTACATCGACGTCGAGTAAGTCATTCAAGAAAATCTGAACTTCAATCTATATTTATTCTTTGCTTTTTTCAGAAACAAACGACAACCGTTGACTTTTCATCTTCAGTTGCGAATGAAACTTCACCATTACTCAACTGAAGAAAGCATGTACACTCGATTTTGATTTCATTTTTAAATTAGTTTTTCTTCTTTATTACTTAACCAATGAAAAAAAAGCGAAAGTTCTTAAAAGTTTTGAAGTAGTTATGGGTGTGTGTGTGGGAAAATTGAAAACTCACACTAATCGCTAGTTTCGTCGTCATTAAAATGAATACAGTTAATAACAGATACGAGAATAGTTCCATGTGATTGCTATTATGTTATACAGAAGTAATCTTTTCATGACTTTTTCACATACGATTCTTTCATGTTTTTATACGATATTTCTTCGCACGTCTTCTATTGGGCAAATTTTTTAGAACACCACTTTTATTCAATTTCGATGGTAGTATCCAGAGCAATACTGTTCCGAATTCAGAAAATAATCTGCAATGAATTGCAATAGATAAAAGGAAATGACAACATCACAAGGATTTCACATGTTCACCATTCAAGGCATGGAATGCAAAGGTCCTCAGCAATCTAATATTGAACGATCTAATCGAGTCTGATGTCTGTGCTTCGGAGAGTGAAGCATCTTGCTCACATGCTTGCAGTGACGTTTCAAACAAACTACCATCATCTATCCTATCTGAAGAAGAAGACCTTGATGAAGATGAACAACTGTACGTCGACAACACGGAAATGCATCGACAAAAACACTAATGTTAGAAATCGTCTCAAGTTTAATTGGTAGTCTTGTTGGCGAGATTGGTGAACGGTAGGCTGTTTTCCTCTGCATCTCTCTCGTTGCGTAAATAAACTTGTGTGTTGGATCCCATGCCGAAAGTACATACATCAGATCTAACGCTTACAAGTTTTTTTGTACGATCATTGTTGATTCCATTCTTTTACCGATGAAAAACTGTAGTTACAAAACAGAACCCAGCAATGCAAGTATTTCTTTTTTCCAATTTTCTCTACTACAGTGTCAAAAACAGCCATTTTTTATTTCTTATTTTGCTATCAGGAGATCATATAAAGTCTTAGCTTTTACATCATAACGTTCTACATATCATAATATATAGAGTAACACTTTTATTTTTCAGTTTTCTATGTTAATAGTATATTGGGTAAATTCTCTTATGTATGACTTTTTCTGATTATTATGCTATGGAATTATTGTCTAATGAGAAGTCTCGGTGTAGGTATGTGAATTTGACTTATTAATTAGAGTGCCCTTGACTACATGAAATGAGCGTGTATAATAGTGGCGGGATGAAAGTAGAAAACAACAAATAATGTAAGAAGATCTCAGTTGAAATTTTAGCGTACCATTTTATATAACCATGCAAAATTGTATTGTTAGAAGTATATATCTTGAAATTTATAGAAATAGTAAGTATCTGGCATCTGCCATTCTGGTATCTAGTCCAGACACAAACATATACAAGTGTTGATTTGATCAATGCATTACCTGATAGACGTTTGGCATTGGTAGAGAAAACAAGTTTCTGATTTCTTCCTCAAAATCAGAAATCAGTTGTCAGATATTTAGTGAAAATTGGCTATAATTTGAAATTTGCCATGGCCTCAATGTAGTTTCTAAAATATAACTCCAGTAGGACTATCGTCTAGTTCTTTCATACACTGTATTCAGTGGCACTTATTGGATAGTCATGATTTTTTAGAGAGCACAAAACACATCAACTTGGAAATCCAATAATACCTTTTTTTAAAAATATATCAAATCAAATCGAGCTGCGTAAATTTTGAAATGATTATAAAAAGAAGCATTTTAAACTAATTACTTTACTCTCGGAATATTGTTGCTACTGTTTCTACTAGCAAACATCGAACAAATACACAACATGCTTAGCGTCTTCAACATACACATTCATATACTACACGCAAGAAGTAGCTTCAATAAGTTATTAAAACCCATCGGTGTCGCTGTTGTATCAGATAGTACTGCTCAACAGCGCTGTATCCATCATGAGACCAGCCTAACATGCTATGCTTACCGCCATCGTTATCAATTTATCCAGTTAAACCCTCACCAGTATTTAATATGTTCTACAATAGAAATTTTTATTTTAAAAAGCATTGTGCTGTGATGACTTTTTTGATTCTACATCCTGAATTACAGTGGCTACTTGTGCTTGATGGTGATACATAAGGGTGTGGGTGTGGGTGGATTTTTCGATTGAACACGCTCACACCCACACCCTACGGAAGTCGCTCCTTTCCCGCTTGGATGTTGGGGTATTCTAGTTAGTCGTGACCAGAGATGTCCACAGGGCAACTTTTTGCACCCTGTCCTGGCCTGCACCCTGTCTGCTCTGCCCTGCCCTGTTGTAAAAAATGAATAAATTTAAGATGCGTCCTGCCCCTGCCCTGTCGATTTTCAGCAGGGCAGGGCAGGGTACCCTGCTGAATTGAAATAGTGTCTGTGTTGTAATTTTTGATATATCTCAAAATAAAAAGACATATTTCTCATAGTACCATAGAACAGTTTTTTGTTTTAGAGTCAGTTCAGACAAGTCACGATGGACCCTTCTTAATCAGCGGTGGTCGATTTAATCGACACTTTTATGATGATAGATGCAAGTGTTTGATGAATTCATGCGAAAACTGTTTCAAAAAATCTTGTTCCATTCTTGAGACAATAAATTTTTCTGAGGCCTATACTTCTTAAAGAAAATATTCATTTTGCTTGAAATTTTCAATGTAGATCTATATTTAGTTGAGATATTTTCCCTGAAAATATGAGCTCAAACTGATCGACTATTGATGAATTGACCCTGAGTACCAGTAACATTGAAAAAATTCTGTTTTTTTTTGTATTTTGTGAATGTATATTTTCATTTAGTAAATAGTACTGGCGAGCTAAAATTTTAACCACAAAGATCTCATTGACTACGTCTGGTAAAAAATTTAGTTCTTCAGCTAGTTTCATTTTTGTATGGAATCCTCATGAAAAATGTGATTCTCGATCACCATGATTTTGATGAAAATCGCATTTTTACAACGGCTTCCGATCGATGAGGGCTAACAGGAGAGCTAAATTTTTTATCAGACATAGTCAAGGAGATATCTGTGGTTAAAATTTTAGCTCGCCAGTATTATCTACTAAATGAAAATGTACACCCACAAAATACAAAAAAAAACAGAATTTTTGCAATGTTACCGGTGTTCGACGTCAACTTATCAATAATCAATCAGTTTGAGCTCATATTTTCAGGGAAAATATCTCAACTAACGATAAATCTATATTAAAAATTTCAAGCAAAATGAACATTTTCTTGAAGAAGTATAAGTCTCAAAAAAATCACGAATCTGTTAATTTTTGATGAGGATGCTCTTAGAAAAATTTTATTATCTCGGGAATAGAATAAAATATTTTGAAATGGCTTGTGTGGAAGTGGAAACTCATGAAACACTTGTCTCCATCGAGCGTAAAAAATGAGTCAACCGGCGACTATTGATTGAGCAGCTTCAGTGGAAACGGGTCGTGGCTTATATGGACCAGATCAGATAGAGAAAGTTCTGACTATCAGTTTGTGTCGTTCTCTGTAGTCTATTTTCTTATTTTTGAGTCTTGTCAACTAAAGGAAAAATTTCTTTAGCACGGAAATTTAAACAACTGGGTTTTCACTTTGCAGGGTATAAGGTCTCACCCTGTTCTGCCCTGCAATTTCCCTGGCCTACCCTGTTCCTGTTCAGGGCAGGGCAGGGCAGGGCACGGTAACTCTGTCCTGTGGACATCTCTGGTAGTGACATTTGTTATGCCTTAAAATACTACTACGAAGTTTCACAAGTGCCTATTAGGCAAGGGGGGAAAAGCGGATTTTTGGGATTTTCAAAATCCCATAAATTGAAAAGCATTTCTCCCTCTGTGGATGACGTAGTTTCGACCTGAAATTCTTCCCATATATAGGTTTCACGGTCCATAAAAGATCCTAAAAGTTTCAACTCGAGTAAATGTTCCCTTCTTGAAATATTGAATTTTCAAAAAAACTGGATTTTCTGACGGTGCCGTGAAATGAGTATTTCTTGTGCATTCATTATTTTGAGAAGGAAACGTCTGTTTGCGCTGAAGATTTTAGAGTATTCTAAGAATCATGAGACTTACATATGGGGGAAAATTCAGATGGAAATTCCATCATTTACGTTTTGGATTTTGGGATTTTGAAAGTCCCAAATCTGCCTTTCCCCCTTGCTATTATCACTAATATTTAATCAATTTTTTGAATATTTCTAGTTTCAAGTGGATAAACTATGTGTGACGATTTCCGATGTGCTGGAGGTTTATTTGATAGGTATTGAATATAAGATTCATTTAAATATCAAAAACCGTGTTTACAATGTATTTTTCACATTCCTTAAATACTGCTTCTTGATGTATCGTTACCTTGAGGAATACTATAAACACGATAACAGAAAAATAAGGAATACGAGTATACTAACTAATATAAGTTATGTACGCGAGAGAAACTTAATGAGAGAAAAATAAGAAGTGTACTAACTAAGGACAAATTACTTGTGCTGTACTTAAGAGAAAGAAGTACAATAACAGAAAAATACGGAATGCATTGAAAGAACGAAAGAATGATTGACTAATATCACAGGTAAGGTATGGTTCAGTATTTCACTCGAAGGCTGCAACAATCCATGTATTTGATTGAATTGTTACACTATGTATTCGGTCATATATTAAAACTCGTTGGTTATTATGCTTAACTGTTACACAAATTCATGATAAGCTAACTGCTGCTTATCGACAGGGTGTTATTTCATATAGTACAGCTGCTCGTTAGATTGATCGATTGCCAAGTGGCCGAAAGTCGTTCGACGATGATCCTCAAAGTCGTCGACCGTTATCCATAATTACTCAACATAATAGTGACGCCGTTAAACACCTCGTGAATGATGATCCACATATTAATATTGATTATATTACTACCATCTTAGACATATTACATCTTAGCGTAGATACTATTCTCAAGCAACATCTTAACTTCAGAAAGATATCGCCAAGATGGATATCTCATAAACTCAACCAACAGCAACGTATTGATATTTGTCTTGAAAATTTACAGAAAATTCGAAGTGGTGCACGGCGGCTATCTGATACAGTAACAGATGATGAAAATTGGTTTTACCATCGAAAAATAAAATCTAGACAACAATCTAACGCATGGGTAGGTAGGGGTAGGCCATTTTTTTAACGGAACTTAATTAATGACATTAATTAATGATTTCCATTAACCATTAATATTTATGGTTAATGAGAAACATTAACATTAATATTAAATTAATGATAATGCCCCACTTCTATGGGTAGGTAAAGAAGAAAGTCCTCCAACTGCAGTTAGAAAGCAACAGTTCAAAGAAAAAACAATGCCCATTATTTTTTTATGATAAATGGACCATTATTTATTCCCCAGGTACCTTCTCGAACATCAGTGAATGCTATATATTATCATGATGCATTTTGTGGAACTCACGTATATTTTTGAAGAAAATAGTGAGTGTAAGTGTAAGGGGCAGAGTTTTGCGGCTCCCCACCCCATCCCCTTACAGACATGCCCACCATTACGGACATTAAAAGCTAATTATTAATTAGAAGAAAAAATGAAGAAAAAACGAAAAAATAGGAGAGATGCGAGAGAAAAAAGGACACCAACCAAAATACAATAATCTTTTGAAAATGTAAAAATAAATGAAAGAGATTATGCTGTGATGATCAATTATTTTGAAAAATCAGTAGTCTGAGAAATTTTTCATTTTACGCATTTTTATTGGTTTATCGAGGCTTCAAGAATATGCGTGAGTTCCACATTTTGGCCCCAAAGAGGCTGCACTGAATAGTTTTTAAAATAATTAAAACATTACACAAGAGAAGATCATCATCAACAAGAAGCCACGCTAAATTGCATTATGATAATACAAAACCATACATTATTGATATTGCTTTTATTTACCTTAAACAAGAGGAAACCAAAATTATGGTTCATCCAGCATATTATCTGACCTTGCTCTTTCAGACTTTTGATTGTTCAATTATCTGAAACGTATCCTTGATACATATCCCGATGCTACAAGTTTCGCTAATGCGTTATCCAAAGAGTTGAATTCAATACTTATTCAAGAATATGAAAAGACATCCTAGAAGTGAATTGAAAGGATGAAACTTTGTATTGAGTATCACGGGGACTACTTCGAGCATTCGCTATAAAAAGATTACCAAAATGTTTTTTCTACGAAAAATATTTGAAAGTCCGGGAACTTATTGACTGACTTATGTAAATGAAAACAATATTTCTGAATTGTATCCCATATTCTATGATTGCCAATTACAATGAAAAAAAGTAGTACAATGCACAATTATAAGCAATTTTCATGTGTACAAGAACGAAAATGAATATTAACATGGTTGTCCATTGTTCCATTCACCCATTCGTGTTGTTCCATCAGCCCGAGTTAGGGTTCCAGAAACATGAAATTGACTATTTCGGTATTGACCCTCATACTTTTGTCCCGATGCCCATGTTTCCACTCCGTTTCCAGTTCGTTCACCGGCTATAAAATCTCCAATATAAATTGATCCGTCAACCCAAACAAAAGTGCCTTGCCCAGTTCTCTGATCTTTCTTCCAATCTCCGGAGTATTTATTTCCATTTGGCCATGTGTAGCTTCCATGACCATGTTTCATATCATTCTGATATTGACCCTCGTATTTACCACCAGAAATCCATGTATATGTACCATTGCCATGCTTTTTATTGTTCACCCAGTAGCCATTGTAAACATTTCCATTCGAATATCTGCGAGTCCCCTTTCCTTCCATATTACCATTCTTCCAGTATCCGGTATAAGTTGAACCATCAGACCATGTATATGTACCTTTACCATGCCTATCTCCGTCCAGGAAGTGTCCTTCGTATTCATCACCACTATTTGATTTCCAAACGCCTTTTCCTGTCCTCTTGTCATCATTCCAATCGCCCACATAATGACCTCCACTAGCAAAAACAAATTTTCCTTTTCCGTGTCGTTTGCCTTTTACCCATGAGCCTTCATAGCGCTCTCCGTCAACCCAAACAAAAGTACCCTGTCCAGTTCTCTGATCTTCCTTCCAATCTCCGGAGTATTTATTTCCATTTGGCCATGTGTAGCTTCCATGACCATGTTTCATATCATTCTGATATTGACCCTCGTATTTATCACCAGAAATCCATGTTAATGTACCATTCCCATGCTTTTTATCGTTCACCCAGTAGCCATTGTAAACATTTCCATTCGAATATCTGCGAGTCCCCTTTCCTTCCATATTACCATTCTTCCAGTGTCCAGTATAAGTTGAACCATCAGACCATGTATATGTACCTTTGCCATGTCTTTCCCCATCCAAGAATTCTCCATTGTACTGATAGCCATCCTTTGATTTCCAAACGCCCCTTCCCATCCTCTTGTCATCCTTCCAATCACCCTCATAATGACTCCCGTTCTGCCAAGTGTAAGTTCCATGACCCTGCTTTTTGCCATCGGCCCATCGACCAATGTACGTATCTCCAGAAGCCCATATTCGGCTACCTTGCCCATGGAAATTATCCTCATTCCATTCACCAGTATATTCACCGCCATTTGCCCATTTATATGTACCTTCACCTTGCTTCTTTCCGTTCATTGTCTGTCCTTCATAGATATCTCCATTAGAAAACTTTGTCGTCGACTTAGAATCTATCGAGACGTTGAGAGCAACTGAATCCGACTTTATACCTTTGAATGAACTTGAATTGATCCGCGGGGTGGAATTAGTCGATAAAGTAGCGTTTTCATGTAAAGAGGTAAGTTTTGGTGTTTTTGGCTTGACTGGAAAGGTAGATTGGTGATCGTACAATGTGTTGTTGGTAAGTTTTTGTGATTTAATTTTTCGCCCAGTGATGGGAGGTAGTTTTATCAATTCTTCATATCGTGCCATTTCTTTTAAATGAATAATGTGAATTCCAGGTAGTTGAAATGGGCCTCCCACAACTTTCAATCGTGTACCGGGTAACAAAATTAACTCTTTTTCACTTGGATAACTTGAATGATTATGTATACATTTGCCATTCTTGCAATTTATCATTAATAAAGTATTGTGCCCCTTTTCTTGCATGAAACTTTGGGCTACTTTTATATTCAATGTACAAGATGTGACTCGCCACAATGTTAATGTTTTTCCTATTTCGAGTTGTTCGGACTTGTCTTGCGTGATATCCTGGTTAATGCCACGCCAAACTGACTCTTGAGATGACGGCAATTTATTTAGGGATACATGAAAAAGCTTCAAATAACGGAACCATCGTTTAAGTGCATGCCTTCGTTTATCTTGGATGGCCTCATTTAGTTTTTTGTAAAGACCAACATTTTCCATCGTGTACAAATAGATGCATCCTGACTCATCAGGTGTCAGTGCATCCAGTGGATGTGAACATTGCCTTTTAGCATATTGGGCGTGAAAAATTATGTTTGGAATTATGTCAACGACAGGTTCGACAGCTTCTTCTAGAGAAACTTGAGGCGCATCCAAATAACCGTCAATTGCTGGCATAATATTGGCTGTAGCCAAATCGTCAGCGTATAAACGAGATGTCATATTTGATTTCCTCTAGTTAAGAATCACAATTAATTTTGAACACGTGTTGTATTAAGTTTCAATTCTGTAAGAGGCAACGTATTATGATCATTTTAACTCAATAAATGCAAAAAATGAGAGACTACCTCATCAGAAACTAAGAATAGGTGTAGGGTTGTTGGATGCTATTTTGCTGGATGTGACGCAGTGTAGATGCACTTAAGGTCACGACCCCCCCCGCTCCCTTAATACTTCTATTCAGTTGATATTTCATATGCTGCTAAAGAATTCGCATATTACTATTCATCTCTGTTAGTACAACTTTTCAGGCAAGTTTTCTCTACGAACTTAATCTATTACATTAGCGATATCCAGAGAAAAATTGAAAGTTTATAAAGGAATATATGAGGACACTATAAACGGCGAAAAAAGATAGCATACGGCACTGAAAGGTATCTTCAGTGATAAATAATAAATTCATTTTGTCGACGTTTATTTTAATAAATATAAATCATGAGGACTTTGCTGAAAATCGATAATTGCATTCTTAGATTTGTTATAGCGCATGTGCTTACTGTACTTATTTAAAAACAAGCATTTGTATACTAGAACCGAGGACTCGTCGTCTCATATAACTTTTGAGTAAATTTAACTCATCAGTTGACTGACTCAGATATCGGTAATAATTTATGCAACTCCTCTTCTATCCGTACTCACGCCTGCATGTATACGTACACGAATTGTTTGCTGTATTGTGTCCTCACGGTATATCCAACTTTTACACTTAATTAAGTCAAACCAGTACTCTCCAAACCAACACTGTTCTTCAACACACCCCGTAACGTCATCCTCCGAATGAGCTGGCTCAAATTCGATCAACATTATTATTGGAGTCAACTGATCGATAGCTGAATGATCACCGGTCACATCATTTTACTGATTCTATTTGAATGCGTTGTACTAGATTCACTGATCATGTCCTTTTCACGACTGCTGACAATATTCTATTCAACAATCGGTACGACTTCTTAGCATTCACTCAGATATTTCCAAGAACGTTTGCAGACACAAAAAAGGGAAAATTGGTTGCTCTTCTCTCATTATCGGTAACCACCATTGGACACATAAAACTACCACATTCTTCTTGTTCCCTCGACTGCAGGGAGGGTCATATGAAAAAAATGCGGCAGCCTGTGCTTGTGTCTGTTTCTGCCAGGTCAAAATAACATCTATGACGCGTGAGCACATTTTAACGTTTTTCGCTGTTTGGATGAACTTTCGCTAGAGGTTATCGATGCTGAGGAATTCGAATTAATGATAAGATTTTTCCAATTTGGATTTTTGAGTTGTAGATTTTTTCGAATACAGGAAGACTTTTTAGCAAAAGATGATTCCGTATAAAGTTCGACCGAAAGTAATCGAGGTCAAGGAATCTGAATCCGTGATCAGATTTTTCAAATTTTGAGTTTAAGATTTTTAAGAACAAAGGAGGACTTTACTAGGAAGAAAATGTTTTTTTTATAAAGTTTGACCATACGTAATCGGGCTCGAGGAATCCGAATCCGTGATTATTTTTTGAAACGAAAATCTCTCATTGTGAGAACTAAAGCGAAACTTTAGCAGTTCTGTGCGACTCCGAAACTTGAATCATAAGGAAACGCTCACGAGGAAATAATCGATTCTGTATATGCTATTGAGTAACATTCAATCTTAAATTCGAGAGCTCTTTTTATTAGTGGATGTTGGAATGAACTAGCGTATAGTGAAAAGGGTTGGCCACTATTCAAATTTGACTTGAATATGGTAGTGTCTAGTCGTGGGGGGCACCGATGAACGACTAACTGCTGCCTACCGATCGCCACTGACGTAAGAATTCAGACTGAAATGTTGAATACGAATGATATTTATCCACTACATCAGACTGACCCCAAGAGTAACGAAAATTGACAACCAGCTTTTTTTCTAAAAACTATAGAAATAAATTTTATGCAGGCATATTAGCAAGAAAGTATAATAGGCGGGTCAGATCTTTCAGTACCGTTAGATAACCGGAGTTTACATGGAATTTGAATCGAGTAAAATGAGTTCCGGATTTGAAATTCATGTGTATTTGTGCAACTGCGTAGTATTTGATTAATTTAAATAGAGTCAAGTTAATTTTAGTATTGGTGTTTGACTAACTGTCTTTAGATCAACTCATGGCACACGGAATATACTGTCATGAATATCCTGAGTGAAGACATAGCAGAGCCTGCTTTGACAGGCAAGATCATAACAATCGTTTTTTAGGAAGAAATACTACCGTCGTTTAGTGCTACTTAAGACTGCATAAAATAATTAGCTAAACATAAATAGCTGGATATCCAGTCGAGGGTCAAGCGAGTCTTGCGACGAGCTTTACTTGTTTCGGGTGTTGGCATAGTTTTTGGCCGTGTGACTACGTGAGTCCTCATTTTAGAATCGGTTACAAATCGCTCACGTCAAAGAAACACCTCGAGTGAACAATCATTCTCTTCGTTCTAGAATTCGCTAGTGATAGCATCGTGGACATCAACTATATATCGTCCATTCTACATTTGATTTCGCTTTCTCTTGACCTTCAGTCAATATACCAATAATCATGAGAAATTATCCACTATTATTACAAATATGAATTGTAATGATCATTAAAGTTTTACTCTATCGAATCTGTGTATATGGAAAACAAATACGAACATCGATTCTGATGAACAAGTATGCGTTTACAGGTATATTTCTTGAGGATGAGAAACAAGCTAACAAGCTCTCAAAACGATATTAGTCGGTGAAAAACAGTCAAATGAAGTCATTAAAGCTGAAACGTATTAAATATTTTGCTCTATCAATTTTTGATGCTCATCGAAAAGTGGTATGTGACAACAATGTAACAAGAACAATCAGTAAACTAGTTTCAAAGGAAAATATTAAAGTAAAACCGCTATCGCCCGTATCAGTTTTGTGAAACTCACATACGTTTCTGAAGAAAATATTAAGTATACGTTGTAGGATGAAGTTTTGTGGTTCCCTACCCATTCTCTCCCCATTGCACACAATAATAACTGGCTACAATACCGTCTTCTTCTATAGACCATAGTAATCAGGATACCAAAACGTCCCTTTTCTAGCTACACGCTCAACACTCTGAAAATAAGTACCGTAAGTTGCTTAAAATGTTTCAGTCAAGAGTATGAAACCTAAAAAGATTCTTGCGACGGGCACACGGGAAGGACTCTTTTTTAAGAGTATAGAAAAAAAGTATCCGGGTTGAGAAGCAACGTACGTATACGACCGTATTCGACTAAAATCCGGTAATTTTCAGCCTGGAAACAGCAGCCGTATACGGTACATCGTATTACGGTTCGATTACGATATGATACGGCGCAGTATACAGCGTTCGTATACAATAATACGTAAAAGGGTCGTATTGTAACCTTACCATGAAAGTATTGTGTACGGTTGCCGTTTACTTGCCGTAGCTATCCCATATTGGCATCATATCGACACAGTACATCAATTTCATAATTTACTATCATGAAATGCTGTGATAATAAGCATTACTTTATTATATGTGTATCTTTTTTCTCCTTGAATTAATCGGCACAACAACTACAGTGGTCAGTATAATTTAAAAAGTATAAATTAAATTTTCAATTTATGAAGGCCGAAGAAAAGGAAATCTTCTTCTCCTCTGCTCTTTGAAGAGAGACGCGTGTGAATTTGATGATACATGACACCGTATACACTTTTAATACAGTATATGTACGGTGAAAATAGAGCTGTATATGCCGGTAATATAGCCATCGTATTTATGCCATATACAGCACGGCCAAAATACGATCAGACAGACATCGTATTTGAACCGTATTCAGCAACCGGGAAAATACCCCCCGTTAAAAAATCTCGGAAACAAAAGAGATTTTTATGAAAGATTTTTCACCGAAACTAATTTGAATTAGCTTAGCGAGGCTAAATAATATATGTAAGTTTCATATTTAGCTCGAGATGGGTTGCGCTAATAAGCTATTCGAGTGAGGGTGTGAGTGTGGGTATTTTGTTGCTATGCACTGTCCTACACCCATCATGATTGGCATTTTATTAAAACAAAGGCTCCCATATAGACATTGTCTGCTCATCCAACTGGGATACAATATTTTTTTGCGACTGGTATTTGACGCTAAGGGTCAAATAAGAATTGGGTCTTCAGAAGCGTGATATATATTATAAAAATGTTTTTGTTGATTTAGGTAAGTAGTTATATATTTTTAATTTCAATGTTATTATCTATTTATTTTTCTTAACGTTTCGGCAACCATGTTGCCTTCATCAGACTCAACTTATTTTATCTTATACTTGTAAACATTTCAACACACACACACACACACACACACACGTGTTTTTCTTGTTCACATAGATTTGAAGCACATGATAGTGGGATGGAGAAAGAAGATAGATAGTAGACAACTGCTATTGCTATCACCGTCTTGCCGTCCTACTTTCATATATTTTAAATCTATCTACACAAAAAATAAAAATACGTGTATGTGTGTATCCTGTACGTGTTAAAATATTTAGAAGCGTAAAATCAACTAAATTTAGCTTGACGAAGGAAACAAAGTTGTCGAAACGTTAAAAAAACAAACAAAAAATGATAAGATAAATAATAGGCAGGAGAACCAAACGATTACTAATAAAAGCAAATTGTTGAAATGGACACTTGTTATCAGAGGGGATTATTTTTTCCTATCGATCTTTATAGATCTTCAAAAAAAAGAAAATAAGAATTTCTCAGATGAAAAGGACCCTTCATAGAATAGAGTCCCGTTATCAAAATCAACTATCTTACACTTACTCATGAATTTATTGCGTAGTTCTGGATTTTGATTTCATATATGATTGCTGATTCCATGAAAGATACTACCTCAACAAATGGTCTGGCGACGGTTGCTTTACAACAATTTATGATCCATGGACAAGTCCAGAATAACTTTTGAAAATTCACAGATTCGTACACTGTCAATAAAAATCGTTTCTCGGAAACCCAGGAAAATGGGTTTCCGAGAAACGATTTTTATTTAGAGCATATAAACCAAGCGATAGCTAAGTTAGTTAAAAATCAGTAGAGGATTCAAAGATCTATGGGAAATTCATGAAAAGATTTTCGAATTTATTGTAAGCCACACTGAATGTTTAACATAGTACAAAAAAGCAGACAGTCGATACTGTCTGACTTAAGTCAATATTTTTTACCAACAACTTTCAAAAAATAACAGTAATGGATTGCCTCTGATGTTTACCCCAACTTTCTTCTGTCAGTCTGTAAAATAGTCAATATCCATGATTTACCCACTTTCTCGTCAACAGTCACTTGCTTATTAAGTTGATGAAATAATGTGCCTCTATGCCAAAGAAACGATTGAATAATAAACCGCGCTTTTTTCTTTCCTTTATTTCACATTTGATAAAGTCTTATCTGCAGTTGTCATTATTTTAGAAGACTTTACATGTCTGTATGTGTGCTTTCTCAAGGACTTGAGTAAATATTACATCGAATAGCATAGTTATTTTCAACTGAGCTCTATTAACATTTATTCCAATTCAATGAGCAACACAAAAACATCAAATAAAACCTATTATTGTCTGTACTAGTGTTAGGACTTAACTTTTACTTCACTGGTAAATAGGTCAATAATCCATTTACGATTTACTTTGGAATAGTAAATATATAAATTTAGCTTTTTCTTTCCAGTTCCAACAAATATCTTATGGGTTATCCATACGAAAAAGGTGCAACCTATACGTCTGTTCTATCTAAACTTTTCTGGCCGAACAATACGGTCCGTATACGATCGTAAAGCGTTAAATACGGTCCGTAATCCAGGCCGGTGTTTTACGACCATATTTCTGCCGTATTTTTGTCGCATACAATATACTTACGGCATGCACACGACAAAATCACGGTAAAAATACGGTTGTAAACACCGACCTGGTTTACGGCGACAAATGGTACGTACGTAAACGGTAAAAATCCAGTCGTATACTGTCATAAACGATTTGTTCACGCCCGTATCTGGTGACTGTATTCAGTCACCCGGTTTATTCGTAGAAGAATGTTTTCTGTAAATAATGTGTAGTCATTGACCTTTTACTTATAATTAACTCTAACTAGTCACTAAACCATTCATTTTAATCGAAATTTATATTGTTATGAACAGTTAAATGCAATAAGTAAGTGAAATTAAACATTTTTAATGAGTTTTTTTCAGAAATTTTTAATTGAAGAACAATATATGAGTTATAAAAAACGTTTACAGAATAGCAAAGAATTTACCTTAGGGACGTAGGGGGGCAAAAAAGAGAACTATTAACACTAACTAATTTTAAAGGTTTCTTATAACAAATTTTATTAACAAGGAAACAGCCTATTTTGTTAAGACAATAGTATTCGTTTTTCACTTATCTACATTTTTTTTAGCCATAGATTATCCTTATTTCGTTCTTACTTGTTATAACTTTATCTCGTTTATTCTTGATCCTTTCTTTTACCAAACGAAATTCGAATGAATTCACCAAAAAAAAAACAGAAAGCAACAAAAAAATGTGTTCTCTTTCTCTTTCTCTTCGCCATTCTCTCCTATCATTTATCCACCATGACGAATATCATTAGACGAATAACAGAACAGTTATAATCCAATGTGAGACGATTATATCAGCATAGAGATGGCATTCTTATGTCATGAGAGACATCTCCTGACATAACATTACTACCCTTTAAATGCTCTCCTGTTGATTCGAATTTATTGGCCGTTTTCATTTTTCTTGTATCTTATTTATGAATATTCAGTAATGAGAAATGCATGATGCTCATTTGAAGAACTTCAAACTGAAGCTTGAGTGGTACTTGATAATATTATTGGTAAATATTTAGTCAAAAATGGCTATATAATGTGAGTATCTTTAGTCTCTTTATTATGTTGGTGCGATTCAATTGATAATTGTGTAGACGAGTGACGCTGGGTTTTTGGCAGTTGGAGACTTTTATGTGCAACAACATAAATATTAATTATTCTATGAAGTAAAAAACTTTTAAATTTTAAATTCAAATTTTATTTTTATTATCTAGCGTAGTTTAGTTGATCCCATTCAGTAATGGAAATTTTGATGCTGCCTTCAACAACTTCATTTTAACGAGGTTTCATGTTTATTCGAAGTCTACCGTACAAGATACACGTATCGGTGATTTTCATAACATATTGACATTATATACTGCCATGTACATGATTCTCAATCGTCAAACTATGCAAGAATTACTCGTTATGATCGAGGTATGTTCAGATTTCCGAAAAAGTAAATTTTCGGAAATAACAAAATTTCTCTTCCACGATGAAAAGATTTGCAAGAGTGCCAACAGAAATTTCCTTGAAACTTCCGTAACTACTATTACATGCAAAAGAAAATTATCAGAAAACAGCATATTTTCAGATTCCACCCGGAAAATTTTCCTAGGGATTTCCGAAATCAGTTTCACATATAAAAAGAAATTTTCCGTTAATTTCTGAAATAACTAATAATATGAAAGCAAATTAAAACCCAAAAAAAGTAGGTTCTCGAGTAATTTTGGTAATCACCTGAAAAATCACTTTATTGTGGTTTTGGCTTATGACGGATAATGCTGCAGTACTTAAGAAAGTTTCTGATATTTTCTAAAACTTGAATTTTTCATCGCTGTAGTTTTCGAAATATAGTAGTACATATTTAGCTAGGAAGTTTCTTCTTTTGAAAATCTGCCACTGCTAGTGTGGAGAGTGTCTACAACCAAAGTTGGAGATCGATAAATGAGGCACAAGAGTGCGAATGTAAGCATAGTTTTTCTCTTTACCCGGATCCTCAAGATAATGTCGGTTATTATTTTGACCAATCTTCCCGATGGATCGTTGTTTCCAGGCATGAGTATTCCATAAAAGCTATATGGAAAGATAAACATCAGTCAACAGAGATTAGAATATTAAAATAAAAATAGTTGACATCTTTATCGTAGTGTCTGCATTATACAAGAAGTATTAATAGATCGTCTCGAGATCGAAGTTGACAACACTGAGTTATTAATTATTGCAAAAATAGGTAGTAACCCAAGACATTCGAAAAAATCAAATAATTCACGGTAGACATGAGCGCAATCAATCGTTTACTCCGGATGATGAATCTTACGTTTGGTTGGTTCTCGTTCTTTTTAGAAACGTCTTGACATTAGTCGTTGTGGATATAGATCGGTGGAAACACTTTGTCATCTGCTGGATACTCTCCAACCACTAGCTGCTTTAAATCTCGTGGAATTTGCATTACATAATTCGACGGATACCAGCTTACATCTTCTCCCAGGTAGCGTAATGACAAGCCTATACGTTGATCGGTCAAGGAATTATTAGCACCCGATCCATGAACTGTCAGTGGATGATGACAAAGAACATCACCTGCTTCCATATCCCATGATAGAATGCTTGGATTTTGACTAAAATCTGGACATGCCACTCGACTAGGATCTATAAATTTTTCATCCTCATCCGGTGTTATTGCTCGATAGAGAATTTTATTTAGATGTGTCCCGAGGATATATTCGATGCCACTTGATTTTCTCGTAACCGGTGTCAGTGCACACCATATCGATATTAAATCATTTCCACGAAATGGCCAATACGATAAATCGTTATGCCATGCCGTTCGAGCTTGTGCCCCAGGTGTTTTGATAAATAATTGATCGTAGAAAAATCTTACCATTTTCACATTGTCCATGAGTTGAGCGGCGATACATGGTAATTGTGAATGCTTTGCGAATCTTTCAAACATAGGAATTGTATCGGACATGAAGCCAGCACTGAAAAACCGTTTGTCATCTTTGGCATAACGAATGCGACCTTTATTTTCTATCATAAATTCCATAGATGCTTGGTACATTTCAGCACATTCAGCGGGTGACAAAACACCACGTAGACAAATGACACCATCACGTTTATAAGCTTGAATGTCTCGTGGTAATAGGGTAAAATTAATGAACGAACTCACCATCCTTCGTGATGATACTCGTCGGTGCATAATCGACGATTGTAATAAAGTAAAAAAGGTATGCATCTTTTTTGTTAGAAGAGAAACAAAACAATGATGTATAGGAAACAAAAGAACCTTATCACATTCTGTATTGTTTCAGTATGGTCGAGATAAAAGCATCGCTTTTATATTAGAAATGAAGTCAAACAATAAATATCTTATCTACTCTAACCCCGATAGTTTCACGTGACCAATACCCAAAATTCAATATCATGATTTGAGAAGCTGATTTTTATAGGAAATAGATAGTAAATTGAGTGATGAGATCAGTATTTTCTGACTACTACACTTGGCACGCGATTAGATTAACAAAACAGCTCTCAAAGCGGTCTATTCATTCCTGTTTGTCTATCCTGTGTTGCCCGTCGACCTTATTTCATTCGATTCATATGTTTGTTTATCTCAGCAGATTTTCTTCGTACTATCACAATAAAATGCGTCCACTTTTTTTCTGTCTCACAGCCAATATCCTCGAGGAGTAGCCTATGGCCACGAAAATTTCATCCAGCAATATCAAAAATAGTGTACTCAATCACACACGCTTGTCTACACAATAAGTAGATTGCTGTAATATTCAAGTATATTTGAGTTTTTGAAATATTTTATTTTCTTGATCGACATCATCCAACTTTGAAATCGTCTATGCCATAGTTCAAATTATTTTCTCTAACGAAACTTTTCCTCTTACGAATTCGAACATATTCTCATTGGAAAGTGCATTTTCACTATGTAGAAATGTCACCGCCAATCTTGATCTTAAAACATGATCTCGAGAACGTGTGAGCATTTCTCTTTCGAACTCAGCAAACGCTTTCTCAGCTCCCCTGTCTTCTGTTACGTACTGCATCAAATAGTTTACAAGACTGACTGCATCTGCCAGTGCTTGATTAGCGCCTTGTCCCTTGAAAGGACTCATTGGATGTACGGCATCACCTAGCATTGTAACACAGGATACATCTTTGTTGATTGTATCTAATGGATTTCTATCGAACAGAGGACCAACACGAATGTCACTAACTCGTGTATCATTAATTAGTTTTGGTATAGGCTCATGCCACTCGTTTGTAATAGATTTTGCTCTGTTCAATAATCCCTCGAAATCATTCTGGTCTAGTAGATGGTGTATCATCTCATCTTCCATTGACACTTTGAACGTGAGTTGCCACATACATTTACCAATCGAGAATGGTTTTACAAAAAGACGTGATTTTCCGTCAATCATCTGAATAGTTTGATTAAGAAGGATTTTATTGTCGTCATGGGGAGCAATTCCGTTGATGGCCCACACACCAAGATAATTTAAATCATCTCTCAACATTTGTTTTCGAATGGAACTACGGACTCCATCACAGCCGATAAGTGCACGACCCACTATCGAACTGTTGCCAGAGAGAAAGATTCGAACATGACACGGGTCATCGGGTATAGTTTCGTATCGAGTGATTGCTTTATTCCATTGAATGATATCTGATTTTAATTCATTCATTAGGCATTGGCGAAGAGATTGTCGAGAAATGGCGAAATTTTCAAACCGACGACTACTAGTCCGTCTTTTTGGTTTCGAGAAAATGATGTCACCACAATTATTGTATGTACACGTACCAGATACTATACGTTCCCTACCCATTGTTCGCACATTTTCACCAATGCCAAGGTTCTCTAGCGCTTCAAAACCATTTTTTTGAATTGTAAGACTATAACCTTGTCGACGTGAATTGAAATCAATATCGCGTTCATAGATTTGGCAGGGAAATCCATGATTTTGAAGTGCCAATGCAGTAGCAAGACCGCCAATACCACCACCAGCTATGATAAATATATCTGTCATTTACTATTTCGGTTGAAGTTCTAATTAAAAAAGATGGTAAAACTTTTCGATGTGTTAAATTAGCTATGGTAATTGCATTATGTTGAATCATAAACAAAATAGGTAGATGGAGTAAAAAACAGACCAATCGTGAATTAACTATTTTAGCAATACACCTATATGAAAAACTTTTTATGATTGGTTGATTCATTCTCCATTACCACGAGGATTCATCATCTATCGTGCTATTTTGTTGGCCTCTTTTTTTTACTAACGTTTGTAAATCTATGCCAGAGGCTTTTGTGTTGAGTCAGTGCAGATCGAAAGAAGAAACTTTAAATTTATTTATAAAAAAAGTTCGATATAAGAAAAATAACAGCAAACTTCTACTGCCTATAGAATATCTAAACCTAGTTACCGTTGGGTTTTGGCTCGGTTTTGCCAATTCTTAGCGTCTGGGTGCAGGTTGAGAAATTCTTGGATTCGACTGAATCAATTGTTTAACATAATTTATTCCAAAGTTTCTATGAATAGGTTAGTCATTCCGTCAATGAGAAAAACGATCAATCTTTATCTACGTATTATTTAAGATATTCAGTAGGTTAAACTATTGCATTTAGTGCATCAATTGATTTGTTTTTTTTTTATATAAAAACTATGGAGTTTAAGTCTTGTTAATATTTCTCTATTATAAAAACAAAGCCAGATGTTGGTTCATCAATTATTATGCGCAATGAAATATTGAAATTATCACAACGTGCAGCATCATTTTCTTAATTACTATTCGTACTATTTTTGTTGTGTCACTCTTGGACAAAATAAAACAGAAGACAAATTTAACACAATATCGTTTAATTTTCTATATAATAATATCAACTAATCTAAACACCGTGAGAAGTTCCTGTGCTTGGGAACTGAATATGCATGCTACTCAGAGTTGCCAGACCTTCCGGGTTTTAGATATTTTCTATTTCAATTATATTTCACTTGTTGGTTAATATTAATAATACAATCAATTCAAACATAACAGTAGCTTTGTCTTCTCGAAAAAATTTCATCAAGCAACGATAATCAGGATGATGATTCAAAAGAAGCAAATAGTGGAATAAAGCAATGAGACTTTATCGTCTCTGGGTAATGTTTTTATCTGCTAAGTATACTCTTTCTTCTACTGCGCACAAATTCTTTTTTTTCATTGTCAATACCCTGAAATAATTCATAAGTCGAAAGTGTTTTTTCGACAACGTAACATTTACATAATGACAAAACGAAATCCGATGTCAACAGAACCTTTTGTAGTTCAATTAAAAATTCACTTAAATTCATCGTTACTGTGTACAAAAGTTTATAATTTTTTCTTGTCCCAATCAGAGTTATTGTAAGTTGAGTAGAAATGAATTGTTAAATGAATAGAATACATGTATGCTAACTCGATATGGACAAGATACTCTCGGTGCCACTTGGATCAAGACGATGGGTCTAGCCATCTATAATATGTGTACAACGTACAAATGATCAGATAAAAAACACGTTCTATGTTGAGGATAACTTTCTCGTACCAATTAAAAGATTCTATTGGAAATATTTGAGCAGGACAATTTATTCTCAATATTATGAATAAAAAAATATACAGATAGGTCCAGATGTGTAATTAATTCTTTTTTTACATCAAACGTACATTAACTTACGGATGATGATCCGTTAGGTTCGTGTGTGGCTGGTATGATTTTCACAATCTACAATTACATAGACAACACATCCACATTCTTGAGTCGATAAGCCTTGCCAAGAAAAAATGAACGATGTACTTCTTTGTGGCAACAGAGCGTTTGGGTTCTTTCAAATCATGCTTGTTTCAATGTCAGAAGAAGAAGACGCGAACACGAAAAGAAAAAAAAGAAACGTAGCTCATATCTGCTCCTGATTAGCATAGCCAACAGGTAATTCATCTTTTAATCAATGTATTTATATACGTCACAGTTGACGTGGGCATTTCCGTTGAGATTGAGATGCTCAATATAATTAACAAAGTTACAAAGATTTTTTTCTCATTTTCATACATCGCAGCGCTTGTCAGGATTCCAGCGAAAAAATTATTTGCAAAGGACGTCTCCCTCGCGATTTATCAAGACACTGCGATGTATGCATTTTTATAAATTTAGTTGAGCTTGGTAAGTGAGAAAAAATGTTCCTTTAGAAAAAAATGCAGAATACACATAAAACTTTAGAAGTCAGATGCATTTATTGATTGAGACAATAGTTTACAAAATCAATTCATACTAAACTCTGTGCCTGTAAAGAGCTATGATCTTCTTATGATCTTTTTCAGCGTCGTATCGTAGGTTCAGCAGTGTCATTATTCCAAAATTCTAGAATTCTAGTAAAATTCTCACATCATCATATTTATAATCAACTTCCATACTTAACGATTCTCTTTCACGGTTCTTGCATAATAGAATTAATAGAATTATCGGAATTTTAGAATTATTAGAATTATTAGAATTATCGGAATAATAGAATTTTAGAATAATCAGAATATTAGAATTATCGAAATTTTAGATTTATTAGAATAATCAGAATATTAGAATTATCGGAATAATCAGAATATTATAATTATCGGAATTTTAGAACTATTATAATTATTGGAATAACAGAATTTTAGAATAATCAGAATATTAGAATTATCGGAATTTTAGAATTATCGCAATAATCAGAATTTTAGAAGTATCGGCATAATAGAATAATCAGAATTTTAGAATTTTAGAATTATTGGAATATTAGAATTATCGGAATTTTAGAACTATTGGAATTATCAGAATTATAGGAGTATTAGAATGATCAGAATATGCGAACTATCGAAATATTAGAAGCTTTAGTATCATACTGTACATATGTTCTATATGACTCTGAATAAGTTCGCATAAAGTGATATGAAAGAACAGCCCATGTCGTCTATAACGATTGAATAACGGCGTTATTGCGCCGCTATTGCGATCGCACTGTGGCCCATTTTAGCGCTCCGCTATGTCTGTTATATTGCGATATAACGACGTTATGATCTGATATTGCGCGTTAAAGCATAACATTTGTTATTACCGCTGGTACTATTGCATGGTTACCCTTACGATACATCTTAGTAGTACATATTTATTTAAAGATCTGTGCATAAAAAAGTTTTGATTATTTTTTCTAAATTTTCTTTGACCATAAGAATGTGGGGTGTGGTGTCGGTGTGGGTGCGGGTGTGGGTGTGGGTGTGGGTACTACTCTTAAATTCTGAGAATTCTAAAGTTCTGATTATTCCATAATTCTAAAATTCTAAAATTCAGATGATTCTATTATTCTGATTTTTCTAAAATTCTGATTATTCTAAAATTGCAATAATTGCAATAATTCTGATTATTCTAAAACTTCAATAATTCCAGAATTGCAAAATTCCAATAATTCCAGAATTCCGAAATTCCAATAATTCTGATAAATCTAAAATTCCAATAATTCCAGAATTCCAAAATTCCAATAATTCTGATAATTCTAAAATTCCAATAATTCCAGAATTCCAAAATTCCAATAATTCTGATAATTCTAAAATTCCAATAATTCCAATATTCCAAAAATTCCAAAATTCCTATAATTCTAATAATTCTAATAATTCCTAAATTCTGATAATTTCCATAATTCTAATAATTCTGAAATTCCATTAGTTCCAAAACTTCCAGTTGGTTAAAGCTGTGAACAGCAATACAATTCATAAAAATGGAATTTTATTATGCCATTAATTTCGGAATTCTATGAGAATTCTAGAATTTTGGAATAATGACAGGACTCATTTCATTAATGATTATAAATAATTAGCACACTTCAATATCATAATTCTAAAATAAAATGTGTGATACAATGAGTATTCGTTTCGACCCCCTGTATCCCTGTGCATCTACACAAACGATTGACAATCGACGTTTGATCATAATATTACAAGAATCAATCCATATCAGTCTATCGGATCAGAACACTGATCCTACACATACTGACCTGTTTACAGTCGCTATTCACCAGCGAATAGTCACAGTATATATATGAAATTTTTCCTATTATTTTCATATATACAGCTCATCTACAAGCATAAATGAATAACAGTAGCAGCAGCGACAATTTACCTCCTGGTGGTGGTAGCAACGGGATGGGTCGTCCTGGTTGTGGTAGCAATGGGATGGGTCCTCCTGGTGGTGGTGGAATGGGTCCTACACCAGACTTCGGTTCAGTCCCGATAACATCTATCCAACGAAACTTGGCTTTCTACGGTTACATTTTTCTATTCTTGTTTGGCTTTTTCGGTCACGCAGCAAGTACGTCCATATTCCTTCGTCGAAGCCTTCGTAGCATTTCAACGAGTTGTCTGTTCTTATGTATGGCTGGGTCTGATACAATTTATTTATCAACGTGTATCTACGATTTTCTTTTTCTTGGTCTTGGCGTTCCCACAACAAATATCGATCTTATGAATTCATTATGTCGTTTTCGTTCATTTGTTCAATATTTTTCTATGTGCTGTTCAGCTTGGCTTCTATTCTCAATTACAATCGATCGATGGCTTCGAGTTCAATTCCCTTTTCGAGTCAAAGAATTATGCACGATAAAAAGAGCACTTATCGGTGCATTCATTATTTTCATGTGTTCAATTGCGCTCAATTCCCATTTACAACTACCATCACTAGGTGTTGTACCTGGTGCAATCGCATGTGCTCCTGGTTCTACCTCAAATTCTACCTACCAATACTTCTACACGGAAGTATGCTTCTCTATATAAAACTTTCGTAATAAACAGCATATTTCTCAATTCTTTTCAGATCTGACCTATTCTGATAACCACTCTTGAAATTCTTTTACCCACAACACTTCTTCTCATATTAGGTATTAAGATCTTCATCGGGCTTCGTGGTCAACAAAAACGACAATTGAAACAAGGTCGATGTCGTACTTTTCTTGATCGCCAAATGTTAATAATTATGCTTACTAGTATCGTTCTCTTCTTTATCACACAAATCCCATTAAGCCTCTTCTCTATTCTTATGATTTATGTTCTTCGAAATGAACTTGCACTACAACAACTACTTCAACTCAATACTATTACTACTTTCGTTGCTTCAATCAATTATGCTGTAAGTTGAATTCTGGTGTTTGAATATTTTTTTGTGAAACACGACCTGAAAGTAGTGTTGAAGTGTTTAGGGTAGAAATTTTGCACCCCCCCTCC